CCCCCCCAAGGAGCTGGTGCAGCCTAAGCTCCGGCCGCAGGCACTCTGAACATCATGGTGGGGAAGAGACAACTGGCCCAGCACAAACAGGGCTTTTTGCTAGGGAAGAGTAGCGCTACGTGGACAGGTTAGAGAAGGGGCAGCTGTACACATATTCCACCTTCCAGCTCTGGGGCCTTATAGCCCTGAGACTGACTGTTCCCAGCCCCAGCAACCCCTGACAACAGGGGTCCACTTAGCCATGCCCAGAGCCCTAGGGATGAGGCCAGTCCACACGCAGCACCACATCTTGATGCTGTGTGGGGAGAGCAGCTGCCAGGAAACATAGCAGGGGGCAAGGACAAACCCTAATGCTGCTGTTTCCAACCTTACGGGGTAAGATGACCCAGCACGTGGAGGTGGGTGTTGCAGCAAGCACAGCAGGACCCCTCCCTCCCTCGCCGGGAAGGGAGGTGGCGTGCAGCCCAGCCAGCAAGGCCCAGGGAGAGCCCAGGATCTCACCGCTCCATGGTTTTCAGCTTGTTTCGCAGGCGGCGGGCCTCCTCCTTTGAACTTCTGTGATCCTCCTGCTGCTGCTCCAGGAATTTCATCTGTTTCTGCAGAGAAGCAAGCGCACACAGACCGTTAGGAAGGCTCCAGGGATTGTTAGAGAAACATCCTGGCTTATGCGCACTGCGGGCAGCTGGGAGCATGCATTGGCTCTTAATGCTATCATCACCTCAGCAGCCCAGGATTACGGCGGGTTTAGCTCCCTCCCCGCTGCACCCCTAGCTCTGCTCCTGGCAAGCACAGCAGGGTCTCGGTGCTAATGCAAGCTGAGACTGGCGTTGAAAGTGCGCCGCAGCCTCCTTTCTGCTGGGAGAGTTTGTGGGGAGGTGCCGTACCCTGTCCGCAGCCACAATTTGTTTTTCAAAAGCAGAGTCCACAGCAAGCAAACCTTGCTGCTGCTTTCTCCTCTGTGCACAGCTGATCCCTTCGCTTTAGTCCTCCAGTTCTCTCTGCGTTAGCTGCTTAAAGCATGAACAGGAGTGCTGAGTGGGTCTCTTCTGGGAGACCTCAGCCAAAGCAGGCACCCACTCAGGTGCTCCCCTCACCTGCCTGGAGAGGCTGCCAGCCTACTGCAGCCGTCACCTTTCCGAGCTCTCCGGTAGCAGGCAGCAGTGGCAGAGAGCCTCACTGAGCTGCAGAAGCGCAGATCTGCAGTGTGGCAGGGAACAGGGGGATGGCGGCCTGAACGAGCACCGTTCCAACGGATCTGTGCTGTCTAGGCTTGCGTGTGCACGGGCACCTCGCGCAGCAGCTTCAAAAGGCGCCGGGTCTGCTTTCAGCACGGTGCTGGCTCCAGGGAGAGGCCTGGCCAAAGACCATCGTCTCGTAAACCTGCCTTCCACACAGAAGTTCAAAGGATTTTAGGAGACCAAACAGCTGTGAAACTGCTGGGATTTGCAGAGGGGATAGTGTTGCAGGCTCCCGTGTTGGTCTTGTTTAAGCAGAGCCCATCTTTGGCTCTTCTAACCACAGCGCTCTCTACCTCAGCTCACAGAGCAGCATCCTGTGCCAGGCTGGCACAGTCCCTGGCCTCAGACAGTCTGAATGGGTGGCAAACTCCCACCCGGAGGTCCAGCAGCAGCTGACAGTGCGAGCAGAAAGGCAGGAACGGCTCACAGCCTGTGGGCCTGACCTGCGTCACAGCTAGTTAAGTCTGTATTTTTCACTGCAGAAGTTGAGTGCTTTAATCTTTAATGATGCAGTATAAAACAGCTCTTGGCATTCAGCTGGGAAACCCCGTACACCACAGCAAAGATACCTCCAGGTCCCTAATCCTTCTGCCCTGCCCAGCTTTCATTAAAGGGACTTAAGCATACACACAGTGTTTTGCAACAGGCAAGATAACCACAGAGCCTCCTCCTGAGGTGCCAAGGCAGGAAAGTCAAGCACAGAGTTGTCAAGTTGAGCAGCAAGCACCAGCTTCCACCATCACAATTGTTTCTGCAGGAGTAGGGAGCATCAGAAGAATCCTGCCACTGGTACACCCAGGATGCCAGGAGCATCTCTGGCATGGCCCAGACCCAGGCTGCCTTTACACCCAAGCAGATTGGAAATAACCCCATGGTCAGGCAAAAAAAAGTCATGCTGGCTCACAGCAAAGCCTGTCTGGCAGGAATTCCTTACTCTACCTCCTTTTGCCCTGTGACAGCACCACATTGCTGTTATCAGACAGATCTGGACCAGTTCCTCTCAGGAAGAGCCCAGCTGCAGGTGACATACAAGATGACCTGGCAAGCCATCTACAAGCTCTCCCTGGGCCACTTGGCCTTGCAGGTCAAGGAACTCAATGCGATCTAGGCTACTGGGTCAGACCCCTACTCCAAGGGGCAGAGGTCTTGGGGAAGTGCAGTTCACCCCTCACCCTGCACCCCATCTTGTTGCAACAGGCATGTCACCTTTGCCCCGCAGAGACACCCAGCTCAGCACCAAGGCAAAGTCACTCTGCTCCCTCGAAGACATCCCAGCAAAGAGTCTCCTGCTCCTCTTCCACTTGCTGTTTACGCACAGTACATGACTACACACTGAGTCACTGCACGCTGAAACACAACAGGAATATTTGATCCCTGGACTTCACACATTAGTAACCTAACCAAAGGAAAGCCCTGGCAACAGAACAGAGGCAGGAGAGTTAGCTGGATCAAATCCCACTCAGCTGAAGCTTGCAACTCCCCCTCCATATATTTCAGTTTGATTTCTCCTCCAATCAAACTAAGAAACTAATTTTCCTTGAATCCCGCCTGGCCTAAACCCATTTCAGAAGAACATTCTACTGCAGGGAGCCAACGTTTCAGCAATGGGGCGCTGGGGCCAGTTCCCACTCTCGGTTCACGCTGATACCTTTATGAGCAGCACTGCCACTTCATTAGCAAGGCTCAGCCAGCGTCCCCTGGACTGATGTCTTTCTCCCACCCCGGCCACCTCTGCCTGGAGCACGCAGCCACTTGTATCCAAACCATGGGATAAACCCAATGTGAAAACCCAGCTACACTGCCCTCCTGTCATTTGGGGATCAAGGAGACGGGAGTCTCGAAGCACTGGATGTGAACTCCCACCAGCACGATCGCTTCATTAGCAGGGCCTGCGGAGATATTCAACCAACATAACTAAGACCAACTGTGCAACAGTTAGTGCTGAAGTCCTGCCCAGGATGGGAAAGGTACCTTGAGAGAACAGCACAGCATCTCTGTCTCTCCCAGCACCTTCTGCAGTGACTCTATTGTGGCATTGCGCACATCCAGAGTGTCCCTCAGCCCATCCACAACAGCCTGGCATTTCTGCTTTTCTTTCTCTGGAAAAGAAAAAAAAATAGAAAACAGGTCATGGCCCGGTAACCCACACTTCAGTTGCCCCACAGCAGCAGGAGCACATCAAACAGACACCTGCTCGCAGTCTCAGGCTCCAGGCTGATTGGAGTCGGCCATTCCCGTGGAGAGCCATTTCCCCAAGTGCCGTCTGCACCAGGGTCTGTACTGAGCAATTGCTTCTCCCAGTGCCAGCAGGCTTCAAGATTTTCTTCGCTAAAGATAACAAGTTCCCTTTAATAGCCTTCCAGTGCCAGCCCTGCTAGCATTAAGCTGATGCATCTTAACTCTTGCGTGCTCTCAAAGACAGGCTTGCACAAGGAAAATGTTTCTCTGGAGCTCCAGCGAGCTGTCACAGAGCTGGATGGCCAAGTGCTGAGCCCAGCCTCCCCACATGGAGTCTTACGCACGGGGAGGCCCCTGGGGGGCTGTGGGGCAGCTGCGTGCAGCCATCCACCCCACTGCTGCAACAGCCCTCACATCGAAGGGCAAGAGGCAGCGAAGCTGAGCTCTCCAGGGCACTGAGGCCTGTGCAAGACACACAACAGCTTAAGATTATCCCCTGGAGCACCCAATTTGGGCAGGTCACGAAACCTTCGAATCCTGCTGTCCCATTCCACACAGGCAATCCAGGAACAAAGTACATGCCTCTGACCGCCAGAGAGGAGGTGGTGGAAAACAACACCAATCTCCATTTGTTTTGTCAAGGCAAGGGAAGAACAGCCCACAAAGCAACAACCAACATCAGGAGCTGACTGACCTAAGGAAGGAACAGCCAGCATCACTGGAAAGCTCAAAGCAGTTGGGCAATGAGGGAAAGCAGCAACCCCTCAGCCTAACCCTGCCGAGAGCAGGGTAAAGTCTTCAGCTCAGCATCTTCCGTCCTGGCCAAAATCATCCGTGGCTCCAACATGATGATCGCGGAGAGCCAATCAGTGCCTTTCCAAAAAGCTTTCTCTTTCCAAGCAATCCAGTTTCAAATTGTGCCACCACATCCCACGGAAGCATGACCTGCAGTGCAGCTTCACTGCTCCATCAGGCAGTAAGAGAGCCATGTGGGACTGGGGAAGAGAGGAACGCATCCCAGCGGCAGCACACAGTTGGCGAGGGAAACACAGATTTCTCTCTTAGCAAAGCATTTTTTCCCCACTGATCCGAATAATCCCTCCTCACCAGAGGCAGCACAGCCTGGAGATGCTCCCCTGCGTTTGCAGGGACTCCACATCCACCAAAAGAGTTAGGGTTTCCCTCTCCTCCATTCCCAGCCGCCCAGAGGCAGATGGCAAGAGTCAAACCTCCCCGTGCTGCAGGAACGAGTTCTCAGCTCATTCGGAGTGCTTCCCACGGCACCCGCTGGGTCTGCTCGGAGCTCTGCACCTCCAGAGCCATTCGTTAGCTGATCAGAGACTGGCAATTACCACACGCAGCAGAGAGCACATCTTTAAGTGAGGAATTTATACACGACACCACCAGAGAGCAGAGTGCCCACAGCAAAGGAGGCAGGAGGTAGGAAGGAGCTTCTCCTTTCCAACATGGAAAGGGAACGGGACAGGGAATGTTGATTCCAACCTCTACTCACCAGAAGCTGCGAAGATGAGCAGGCCTTCGAGCAGTTTTTCTTGGATAACATCCTAGCAAGAATCCCAGCCACCTTCCCCAGAAGATCTGGCTCTCTACCAAGTCACTAAACTCAACCAAGCTGGCAAGGGAACAGGCCTCAGAATAGAGACGTGCAGACCGTCCAATTCTGCTCCCAGGCTGAGGACTGAATCCTCAATCTACTGGCTATTCATGTCTGTCTCGTGCGCACAGGAAAGGCAGAGGGAAGACGACTCTCGGGGCGTGGGTGAGCCCCCATCCCCCCCCCCCCTTCTGCTAGTGTGTCTCTGGATTTCTGTCACTCAGACTGACATTTTCCTTTCGCTGCTCATGACTCATGTTCTGATGACAGGCTGCCTACAGACGATGCTTAAAACCCATCGACAAGTCTCCAGGGCTTTTGCTTTTCCTGCCTCCCTCAAACATCCTCTAAAATTAAAGATGGGAAAATGGAAGCGCGCGCACACACGCTGAACTCTGTCTGCTCTTCGCACGACACATGTGGCACTGCAACAGCCAAACAAACCCAAAGCCTTCCCACTGCTGCTCGGGCACCACTTTTACCCCCTCAGCTGCCAGAGGGAACGAGCCTTCGCCATAGGGAGCTGAGAGTTCCCCAGTGAGCAAACCGAGGGTCCTGCTTTCAGCGAGCCTGCTCCAGATACAGCCGTGCTGTGCTTCTCTAGCTGTGATAAGGGAGAGGGGCAAAAAAATTGCACCTATGCCTCGTAGCTTGCGGAGAGCTCCCCAGTTAGTAGCTCCTTGCAGAGCTAGGCCAGGCTGCAGGCTCTGGCTCAGTCATACAGCCTTTGCACAGCTTTAGGTGGTCTCGCCTCAGAAAAAGCTCTGAGCAAAACAGTTTGCAGCCTGCACCACGGCCTCGGTGTCAGAGAGGGGTGGGCTCTGCACAGAGCTTCCTCAGGCCTGGGCAAGCCACCCAGCACAGGTAGAGCCCAGACCTGCCGATCCCCCACCAGCTGATGGAACTCACCTGTCATGGAGAGCTGAGCCTTCACCTTGTCCAGCTCATTCTGAAACACAACACAGAAAACACGATTAGGGAATGCCCTGCAGAGGAGCTTTCGCCAGATCTTAAAAGGACCCGAGAGGTTTTGGGGCAGGACATTTGCACTGGCCAGGCGCTCAGAGAAGACCCACAGTGAGCACCGAGTTAAGCAAGTACTATCACAGGGAACGCAAAGAGCACCTCCAACCGGCACTCTTCAGGGGGAGAAGATCCCAGTTTCGTCTTAGCCTTGTCAACCTCGTGTTTCTCACACTGTCAGTCATCTTGTTTTAGCTGAATAATTTTGGAAGGCTCACAGGGAAACACAGGAAATCAGACAGGAACCATTTTTATAGTGTTTTACCTAAACAAGGCAATAAGGCAGGGACGTTGCCAGACTAACTGGCTTGAGAATTGCTTTGAACCGAAGTGAACTTGAACTGCGTGCAGGTGGGAGGCAGGAGGGCATCTCCAAACGGCTGAAGAGGTAACCAGGCACACAATCCAGAGGTACCAGCCAGCATCCTGACGGACGCCGAAGTGGCTCTGGCTCAGGATGCCGATAGGAGCTAACAGCTCAGCCGAACGGCCACGAACAGCTCACCACACCAAACTGAGGGCACGTAACATCGCCGGGGCACCACAAGGGTCTGGGGAAGGGCGAGTGTTCCTAATGCCTTCATTAAGGATCCGGAAGAGGCAGCAAATTCCATATAGTTTAAATTATAGATAGTGTAAAGCGATATGACTTAGGAATGCTGGCAAATAGCCAAAGTAAGTATAGAGAAGTTGCAAAGAAGGGCAACATAAATCTACATATGTGTGTGCATATATATATATATAAAATGAGAGAAATACAGGAAAGAGTCAACAGAAGATGACTGAAAAAGCTGTGTTAAGAGAACTGCAGAGGAAAGCACATAACAAGTCAGGCAGGAACTGCAGTGGAATAAAACCACAATAAAATGCCAACACAGTACTGAAGCAGAGCACACAAATCTGTGCAACCCAGAACGCTACATGCAAATCTGAGCTGAGAATAGCAGCACCAGTGACCACGGATCTGGCGGGACTAGAGCAAAGCTCTGCTCATGACAACGAAGGCAGGGAAGAGAATATGGGATGTAAAGCTCGGTAAGCAGAAGGGACTAAATGCAAAGCCTAGGAGAGCCAACTTGGATTTGCCCCCCCGGGGGACAACAGCTGGAGGGCTGACATGGAATTAACTCTGCTGCAGGAACTATTCTGGAGTAGCTTCCTCAGAGTCCTATTCAGGAATGATTAGTAAGCTCACAAGATGTGCTAATTAGCATGATAGTCAAGAAATCCTGGGCTACTGGGGGCAGCTATGTAACATTACCTCACTCAAAAACCTGAAATCCCTTACCCTCCCGACACAGCTCCTCGATTTCACTCCTCTGATAAGGGCTCTGCTCCCCGCCAGCCTGAGCTACCAGACCCCATTTTCCCCAGCTCAAACAAGTTTATCATGACCACACACAGACAGCTGTCCTCCCAGCAAGTTTACAGGCAGGAATCCTCCTCCTCCTGCCTCCCACCAAGTTTCCTTTGGCAGAAGAGCTCCTGGCTTCCCAGATCACAAGCGACTGGAAGGGTCAGGTTCCAGATGAGCCTCACCAAGGTGTCACACCCCAAAACTCACACTTTTCCTGCTCTGGGAATGGCCGCATGGAGACTACTCTGATCACCGAGGACCATCTTTATGTCCAACACAGGAGAAACTTGGGCTCAGCGCCCAGAAACGCTTGGACACATCACAGCGTTCAGCCTGTGGTCTGCAGCTACTCCAGCAAACCAAGCCCCCTCCGGTGTTTCAGCTGGAGACTGATGCCTGGCGGTGGGAAGCAAAGCACCCCCAGCAACCCTTTGACCGTAAACATTTCAGACCAGAAGCAAGAGTGAGGAATAGCACCAAAGACCATCATTATCCAAAAGATAATTTGGATAATCCCACAACAACAGGAAGAGATGTCAGATGAGGGAGCTCTTCCCACCACTTGTAACTGGGTGCACAAGACCTGTTCCCAGAAAAGCATCCCAAGCTTGCCTCGAAGATAGCCATCGGACCACAGCTACACAAGCAGCTTTCCAGCACGCTGAAGCAACGCTCCCTCACCCCACGCAACCTTTTTATGGCAGGAGGCCAAATGCTCATTTCAGGACATCTGCAGGCTGCACAGATGCAGCTCCAGTTGATTACGGGAGCAGAGTACCACTCTACACCCAGGCTCTTGGAGGGACAGCAGGCTTTTGGTTGGCAACAAACCCTGGATCTGGGGGCTTTTTCAGGTAAAATCACTTCTGGCTGACGAAGCCACCAATTTTTTTTGCAGGCAGAACTCCAGTCTGGATGGACATAAATCCCAGCCACATTCTTAAGGTGCTCCATGTCCTCCAGAAACAAGGCAGAAACAACATAGGACTGATGAATGAGCACAGTAAGCCTACACGGAACACGCTTGGTTCTTTCCCATGGGAGCATGACCTCAGTGCTCTTCGGAGAGCTGTACACACAGGGCCAGAGGGCCACACAACAAGCTTCGTAGGACGGCGGTGAGTTACCGCCAAGCTTGTGCAGGTCCACATTCCCACCCTGGAGCAAGAAAGTGGTTCTTCAGCACAGCCTGCCTGGAGGGGAAGGCTAAGGGAACACATGTTAGGTCCTGGGGTGGGGGTGAGAGGGAAGAGAAAGCTTTTCTAGGGCAATTTTCTCCAGTCAAGCCGCTTCTGAGTCACTCATCTATTTACACTTGCGAGAGCAGATCTGAATACGTACGAAAGGCAATGTTTATCTGCTCCCAGCCCTTGCTTTGCTTCTAGGGCACATAGCTTCAGGTGCCCAGAGATGCTTTTTCCTTTCCTCAGCACACATGCTTTGGCCTTCAGTTTCTTTATTAGCGGTCCTTGCGAACAACACTGCTACTGACATTATAGTCTGTCTGGCTTTATTTTAAAAACATACGATATACATATAGCATTGTCATGGCAACTGCTAATTATGGTAATTGCTGCACATGCTGATTCTAAACACAAGAGGGTACAAGCATCCCATTATACCAAGGTCAGCCCATTACTTTTTTTGGAACAGATAACTCCAAGACATAAGGAGCCATGCTTCTTCCACGGTAAACAAAGGAAAAGAACACAGAACAGCCGCTCTGCGTTCATCCCTTCTCACCCCCAGCTCTCTGCACCCAAGGGCAGCACTTGGAGAACATCACCCAGCACCCCAGCTCCAGTCAGGTTCCCCCCGCAAGGGCCCAGCCTCAGCACCGCTCACCACTGCTGGTGTGGCTTCAGGCACTCCCTTCCCTAATTTATCCTGGGGAACCAAGGCTTTCTCACCACCCCACTTCCTTACAGTCTGTGCAAACAAACCCACCTGCGGAGAAGCGAGGAGGTGGCACTTCCTCCAACAGCCCCTTCCTTCCAGAGGGGTTAGCAGGGCTCACACACAACCAAGCCACGGACACCGGCAGCAATTCTTTGCATTTGGGATGTTTCCTTCTCCTGCCTTTTGGAAAAGCTCTGCAGCCTCATCCCCAAGGTTTTCAGGCCCAAGGGAGAAGCAGCACTGGGTTGTTTATCTGATGCTGCTTCAGGAGGTTTCCAGGTTAGAGCGTGAAATACAGGAGCCTTCAAGTCACCACATGAGATTTGGTCAGGGGGAATGCTAACCCACCATATGGAGACTCCCTTACAAGACAGCCGAGACTGAGCGAGGACCAAGAGGGAAGACAGACAGGAAGGAGACACTGATGGGCTTCAGGTCTGAAACAGCAGCACAGCGAGCCCCAGCTCAGGAAGCAGCTGTCGACAGAGGAACAGCACCACAGACCGCACTTCCAAACGCTGAGGCATCACACAATGGAAGAACCACTCAGTTAAATTACCTGCAAGGTCTCCGCATCTGGTGCTGTCTGCTCCTCCAGCGCCACATCAAAAAACAGCTTATTGATGATGTGTCTTTTGCTGACCTAAACACAGGAGACAAAAAGCGGCTGATAGGCACAGGTATGGAAACACAACGGATACAGAAGACAGATGGAGGGGGGCGAAGGTACCATCTTGTCACAAGGCCATGAACGGCAAGTCAGATCATGTGCTCAGCGCCATTAGCGATGATGCTCTGCTTTGGCTGACCAGCACAGCAGCAGACACCCACCCCCCCACCCCAAACTCCGTTTCGGGAGCACGACTCCAGCCAAGCTCCTCAGCCGCAGCAGAGATTCAGGCATTTCTGAATCAAGCGCAGTCTGTTCTCTGGCAGCTAAGGCCCAAGCAGCTGACGCTGAGCTAACACGATGCCAAATCCTGAGACAGAAGTACGTGCTGCTTTCTGCAGGCAGAAGGTGCTGTAATTGAATTTGATAGCTCTCCACACCTCCCCCATGCAGTTACAGCTTTGTGTTTTAAGTATTATATACAGTCATGACACCAGCTAATTGCATAGTTACTGCTACATAAGATGTTATTTCGCGATAACTCCATGGTAACCCAGAGATGTAAGAGGCAGTGAAGAACAGAGGGAATCAACAAGTCAGGGAAGGAACAAGGGCCGAGACCTCGGGAGGAAGAAAGAAGCATGAACACAGAACGAACCCAAGCTGCAGCTGGCTGAAAACCTACAGCTGAGCATGGGGCAACGCCTCCTGCAGCCACTACACATGGAGCTCTACTGGCAGCATCATGGATGTTGGCACAAGAGGCTTCAAAGAAGTTCAGGTCCTGATTAAGCCACTGGATCCCCAAGCCTCGGCTCCCCATAGCAGCAGCAGAGCATACCCTTCCCTCCTCAGCCTTTGCTTTTCGCAGGGAAGAGCCAAGCGCTGCAAAGCGAGAACTCAATTATAAGGACCACGTGCAGCAGAATGGGCTGCTTACCTGACAGCAAGCAGCAGGGTACTCTAGAAACATAAGCCAGATGTCCTGATTAACCCCTTCTGGCCCTTTCAATCATTATGCTGAAACTGCCTCAGCCTAAATAAAAGCTGTGAAAACCCAGAGACCCTTCCTAGAGAAGTTACAATACGGACAGCAACAGGACACCCCTTCTGATCAGAAGGGTTGCTGAGGGGACACCACCCTCTGAGCCTTTGGGAAGGACCTCGAGTGACAGAAAATTCTCTCTGCTTCACACCGTGAGCCTTTTCCTGGCACAACCACAGGCCTAGGCCACAGCTCATCGGTGCCGTTTGCAGAGCATCGCGCCTTGGAAACAGAGATGCACATAGGTGATGGCTTTACCTGGATTCTGCACTGCGGGCACGTCCGGCTCGGTGCTGTGTCAAACCACTGGATGAGACTGAGAAAGGGAAAAAAGAAAAATATGGTGAATCCTTAAAATCCAGGAGCGCTGCTCCCAGGGGCCATCCTGGCAACTCACTAGGAGACAGCAGGACACGACTGCTTTTTACACACTAAAAACAGAAATGCAAACGTTTAGTCCAGAGGTACAGCTAACGGGAACGCTGTGTTCCAGCATGCACACTCTACCTTCGCCTCTGAGACAATTCCCAGCTGAATTTAGCGTGCAAGCTTATCTTTACCAGGGCAGAGATTTTACAGAGCTCAGATCTCCCTGGGAGAGAGTCTTTGAACAACTGTAACTTCACAGGAGTGAAAGGATCCACACGCAGAGCGGCACAAGAGCTGCTATATCAGGATACGACAGCTAAGAGACCCCTAGTTTGGTCAGCTCCAAAGGGTGCCGCTGACACCGAACACGGGTCTGCGGAGTGATGGAGATGGGGCTGATCTCTGCTCCAAGACGATGAATGCAAACCTGTCGGGCTCCCCAGGAGAGCTACTAATGCATTTTGCTACCGAGCCATCACGTCACACTCTGAATGGTTTATTTTTGGAGCAGGATAACAATCTGGAGCTGGCAGGTTACCTTTGGAAGCTCTCCCTCCTCCGCTGGTTGTTAGAGAAGAGCGAGCCCGAGCTGTGCCGCTGGTTAAGAAGCGACCATCGCATCTGCGAGCGACAGTCCCTCTCCAAGTTAGTTAGCCAGAAAAGCAAGTGCGCGCTCCCTCCCCACACGCAGAATTTATTTCCTCAGAAGAACCGTTTCCTTCCAACACAAACACTTGTAAAACAGTTCCAGCAAAAGCATGAAATTGCCTGGGAGGCTTCGCTCATAATCTAACACCGCTCATTCCAGATAAACACCCTGTGTAGGAGCAAGCTGCTGGCACCGGCCCTGCCGGCAAAGGGAGACCAGAGGCAGAGGAGTGACAACGCAGCCGAGGCTCCTGCGGCAGCTTCATGCGCTCCACTAA